ATATTAATTTATATAAATAATACCTATTACTTTGATTATATTACATAATCGATATTTGCGAATATACCGGTAAAAAAAACTCAATTAGGTACGTACAAAATGCCAAGATGTTGTTCCGTTTATTTAATACAAAAGCATTTTATTGTATAAAATAAAAATAAATACACCCAAGTTAAAAAAAAACAAATTGTTATCGGTGTTGGTGCACATGTAAAACGACTCGCGTTTGACATGCATCTGCTCTATGAATTATAACATATGATAAAAATCATTTGTATAACCGAAACGTCCGATTTTTGTAAATTTTTTCTCACCAAGTAGAACTTATAATACTCGCTATCCCGTTACAGATACGTTTTTATACTGTCTATTTACTACGTTTTCGTCTATCACTCGGGATCCCTTTGGCCTTATATGCTAAACGTTGTTGACGTAGTAGGATCCTATTTACTGTACATCAAACTGGTAGAATTATGTAAACAGTATCAGCGATACGCGATCAGAGAGATGTTAGTTTTGATAGTCTATGTGTACTCACTCTTAGAGCATGTATTTCTAAGACTGTTGGTTTCAAGAAGCACTTTTCTTATAACATATTACCTCGTACATCGTTCTCAACAATTTCCACATGATTGTAATGGATGGTAATAGGTACTGAAGATACTAAAAACGCCATAGTTCTTGCCACCTGCACTCGCAGCCGTCCAAACACATTTTATATTTATTATATTTTATCGTATAAATTGTTTATAAAAATAAAAAATGAATTGATTATTTCCAGGTTTTCCCATAAAAATATTTTAAAAAAAAATACTCAACCTATGCATTAAATATATGCGAGTTAAGAAATATCTTACCTCTGCAAGATATTCTACGTTGTTATAATATTTTTAAAATCGTACGCACAAACGATTTTTATTGCACTTAAAAATAAAAAATGTTATACTTAAATATATTTGGTACTCTACAGTGTTTTATTATCGTTGAGGTTTTTTTTTTTTTTTTTTTTCAGCAATAAAATGTTCCTATCATTTTATCATTTGATTTATCTGCATGAGTTTGTTAAAACACGGTTTGTCATCTTCATTCAAGAATTTAAAGATTTTCCATGCACAGTGACAGATTCAAAAGTTCAATACTACTCAACAAATTTAAAACTTTAGCATTTATTTAATCTCTTTAGTCTTAAAATATTTGTACCCTTTAAAAAAGTATGAAACTTGAAAATGTTTTTTTACTTCAAATTATGTATTATTCGTATAACATTAACTAATATTGGTTTTTACTTTGTATTAAGTCAACTAAATTAAAAATGTAGACTATCATTAAGACTGGATATATACATAATTACATGATTAGTAAGTATACTAATATTTGTAGTAATTTATACAGTTTAAATATGAATTTTCTTTTTAACAAACTCTCAAAGTATGTGGATCTCAAATCTACTAACGGCATAATTTTGTGTACCGTATTTCTCTTAAATGTGTCATACATAAAATACAATAGTTGATTAAGCCATGAACTCTAAAAAATATGACAAATTTGTTTATATTAAACACTTCAAAAATCTAATTTAATTTAAAAGAAAAACAAACAAAAATTATAAAATACATTTTGCATTGAGGACTAAAAATGCATTTTGGATAATCTATAAAACAAAAATTTGAGTGTGAACTCGTTATTTTAAAAAAATTAAATTTTTAGGATTTTAAAAATATAATAATTGTATCTTTTTTTAATATTTTAGTCAATTTTATCATACTTATTCTTATTTTTTAAAAATGGAATTAAATACATACATTGAAATGGAAATAAAAGAAATTCAATAACAACTTTCAATCACATGAATATCAAATATTTCCGTTCAAGAGTTTTTCCCTTCAAAAATAATCAACTAGTAAATGAAAAAAATGTTCAAGTATAAACCTTGAACTTTGTATTTTTTCATGCAATTGTTACTACCTCGGCAACGTTTTATTCTATTACGACTATTACTTATTAAAATGTACAAGCAACGTAATTTGTATGGTGTAATATATAATAATATATATATATGCAAATAGGATGTATCATATAATTTGTCTGATAATAACACATTTTGTGTCACCGGGGATATTTTACCAGCTTTATATCTGTTTTCTTTAGATTTTCCGTTACACTGAAATCCGAATCGATATGCAATGCCTGTCAATCTCCACCATAAACAATAAATTGCCATTTCTTAAACAGCATGGTAATTTCTCATTTATATAATCTCTCACAATTCCTCAAGCAGCATGATAATCATTATGAATGTTATTATTTATTATATGATGTTTTTATGATATAAAACCAATATGTATTTTACAAAAAATCTTGTCAACTTTTAACAGATTAAAGAAAATCTCGATATTATTTATTATCGTTATCATCAAACTTATTTGAACTTATTTTCCTCGTAAATGCGTGTTGAATCCGCTACTATTTATATAAACATTATCTTACAATCCGGCTTAACCTTAAACGAATTTCAATGATGAGTTTCTTGGCCTTACTAAAATACCAGAATAATTTAGAACTATCTACCTGATTTATAAATCCAATCTTAAGACAATAATTAGTACACTGCAAAGTCACTTATTGTAGTAAATATTTTCATAATTATTTATTTTTTTATTTTATTCTTATTGATTCATTATTTCTATCTAGTATTTTACATATTTGTTCTTCCAATATTACTAAAAAAAGTAAAAAAAAAAAGAAATATTAAACAAGAAAATTATTAGAATACATAGAACAAAATCGATCAATTTATATTAATAAAAAGAAAATCTCAATTTATTCAATTGGTCTTAAAATCATTATTTCGTGTCCCAAAATGTAAATAAACTCACAAATATTTGATCTTAAAATGTATTATTTTGATTTATGCTTATAATTTTATAAAGCTTAGTTAAACAGAAATAGATAAACTAAATAGATATTACAATAATAAACTGTAAATTATTTCAATATTTAATTATTTACAATTTGAACTATAAACCACAGATATTTATTTAATTAATATATAAATTCTTATAATAATTGAAGAGCTATTATGTATTTATTTGACAATGACGCCAAAAAATGTATAATTTTATATAGTAAATAAAAAAATAAAAATAAATAAATAAAATAGTGTAAATACGAGTATATTGTTTAATATAATATATCTAATAATAATATTTATTTATTAGATTTTAAAACTTGGTACTTTAAAAAGGTTATACTTTCATTATTATAACTGTCAATTTAAATTTTTAGATTACTTTTTTTTTGTAGTTAGGTATAGACTAACTAATCATTAACAATTAAGGTAACATCAAAACTTTTCCGTTGATGTAAAATTGTCATAAAATTATAAAACATATTTAAATTACTCTTTGTTTCATAATTTTATTAAAATAATTATCGTCAGCAATTGGTTCGATATTTTCGATTGGACATTGATAAAATGATTAGGTGCTATGGAAAAATATTGTATCACATACTTTTGGAAACTTTAAATGTAAATCACAATTTTAACAGCTTAACAATTACATTAATTTATTTCTTAGCATTTATACACAGTTATTAATTATTTAATAAGAATTAATAGAGTACCTATAGTGTTATTTAAAATTTTGAACAAAAATTAACTTATCATAAATTTCAAGTTCTACTAGCACTGGCATTCTATATTATTATTATAATTATTATACAAGTGAATATTTACCTCTAAAATTACATTTTTCTTGTTCTTTATAGATTTACTGGATTTCGCTTCCGTGGCTTTTTATATTTTTTGTTTAATAATATATTTTTTATATTTACAACTTTTATTTAAATTATTATTTTGTATTCCTTCAATAACGTTGAATCCATTAGTATAAAAATACTGTATTAATTTTTTCGATATTTTAGTTCCGAAAATAAAATAAACGTTTTTGTTTAGAACTATATTAACGTACTTATAATCACTAGAACAAAACAATTCAACCTGAGATTGATAAATTTAGCAAATTTTTCGCACAAATGAAATTCAAATTATCACTGAAGACATTTCTCATTTTTTTTCCACGATTCGTGCAGCCACTGCTGACTGGAGAAAAGTCTACAACTCATGTAAATCAGCTCAAGGGAAAGTTCATGTATAATGCACAGGGAATTAGTATAATATATAAAAAAAAAAGGTTTACACCTCAAGCTCCAAAGTACTAAGTGTGTAAAAAATTTTGTAAGACAGTGTATTATTTCAACAATAGAAATCGTATGGGTAAAATGCAATTGGCGAAGAAATGAGACTGCGAGAAAAAAAACTACAATGAAAAAAATAAGAATATATTTACCTTATTCCGGAACTTCGGTTAAGTTAGTCCTAACTCGAACGCACATCCATATTAGCGAAGTACAAAATAATTGTATTCAATACGATCGTATTTTATGTTGTGCTTTAAGCTTAATGTTCCGGCGAACCAGCCGAACGGCGGATTAACGATTTATATACACATATATATATATATTAATATATTTATAGCTATCGTTCAAGAGATATTTAAATGAAAACTCAACGACCAGATTATCTCGATCGGGTATAATATATAAAACGAAAATTATTTTTGATATGTTGACGGTTTTAATACAAACATTTATGCCTGTGATCGATACCAATGTTTGATATCATTTTTTTTTTTTTTTGTGTTATGCATACATACGTTTTTGATTCCTACGCAAATAAACTGAAAATAACATCAGACTAAATGGAAAGAATTTACAGAAAATTGGATGGCCTGAAGGACTCTGTTTTTGGCAAATTGCATTTTCCAACTGACTTGGCTAGAACTGTTGGCGTTAACACTATCAAATATATTACGGTTGAACGAGTCAAATGTGACGGATGATCATGAGTCCGAAAACATGTAGTATAACCTTATCAATGTGCACAGAGCTGGAAAATGCGTCTTATTCATTTTGACGATTTTTTTTTTTTTTGTTTCTAGACCTTTCGTGTGTACCAGAGTCAAGTACTTTAAACACAAAAGAACCTTCTACAAATAAATCGCATTTTTACGACCCTTTCACCACCCAAAGTAATCATGAACGAGAAAAAAGTAATAAACATTTTTCTTGAAAATCCCAAAATCTTAAATATTTAGTATTAAGAAACTAATTCATTCAAAATAAATCTACATATTATTATATTGATATTTGTTTTATGCAACACTTGTGTTATCTTTATTTTGCAGTTCAAAACAATTCGACTTGTATTATATTTTCATCTAATTTATCAACTAGTTTAAACTAGAAAATATTCATTATTATAATTATTGTAATAATAAATATTTTCCAGTTGATAAAAGTCAAAAAGCAAAATGGAACGAAAAAATGCAATATATATTTTGTCTTAGGACAACATACAAGAAATTATCTATTAAAAACTATTTTAATATTAGGTTATTAATCTTACAAATTATACTTGTATATTAGAAATATTAAAAGTGTTTTTAAATTATTTTAAGTTCTACAATGAAGGAAAAAAGTATTTATTTTTTTTTTAAAAAAAAATTAAAAAGTTTTAAAAAATATAATTTTCAGAAAATATTGAATATAACTTCACAAGATAAAATTAAATTTAAATTTTACTATTTTAAACATAAGGGTAAATAATAATTTGATTTGTATATGTCTGTATAACCAGCAATGGTTGTATTATTATTCAATGATTTATTATTTACTCATTATTATATAGATCATCACTATAGTTCTATCCAACTCATCAATTTTAGTACTGATAAATATTCTATTAACTATTTTTAACTATGAAATATATGAGTCTCATCTGAATACTAAAAAAATAAAAAGAATAAAACTAATGAGCTGGTACCATTTTCTAAAAAAATCATTGAAAATTAAACATATAAACTAAATATATAACAGTGTACCACTAGAATTCAGTATTATTTTTTTTTATTTTCTATAATATCATAAATATGAACAAAAATATTACATTTTTTTTTTTTAATTAACACAAAATAATTATTCTAAAATTAATGAAATAATATCTAAGTATAAAAAGAAATAATAAAATTGAATATCTTTACTATCGTAAATATGACGTTACAAACAATGAACCCTTGCAGGAAACTTTATATTAAGTGCATATGGATAAATAATAAGAAATTTAAAAAAAAATTATTTTGTGATAAATGTTAAAATACAACGCAAATATAATGCAAAACCAATAACACATTTTTTATTAAAAAATTATGAAATACAATTTAACATAAAATAATCATAAATGTTTTGAAACAATACATTTTATCATATTTAAAATTTTAAAACTTATATAAAAAAATAATAACCGGCAAATCGGAAAATATTTTATCTTAAGTATACTACCTGTGTTCAATTTTCGATCTAACATTTGCTGTGTAATAATTGTGGGGAAGCGATCCGAAAAAGTGTTTACTAAGATAAAGAAAATTGAAAATCAATACATTCTCTTTCTTACTTGTTAACTATAACAGTTAACCATTTTATGAACAATTGTTACAGTGAACATTTTTTTTCTAAAATTGCTGTTAATTGAAAAATATCGAAGTTCTATAAAATAAACATATATACAAATGAAAGTAGTGGCCCAATCAGGATTTATTTTCGGGGTGTGGGGAGGGGTTATATATGAAAAAAATTTAATTTATGATATTGTTTGATGTAGAGAATGGGGTAAGGTTAAGTTAACTATATATTTCGAGGCCTCCAAATCTCTAGTTGCATCACTAAAGTATATACGATTATCAGTAAAAATATAAAATATTTTATGGTATTTAAAAAAATATTCCCTAAATTATCTATTTTTTCATAATACCGTTTCATAATATTTGTAACATTTATAATACATGCACACACTCAAATCAACTCAACAATATAAAAATTTAATTTAATAATTTTATAAGTACCTATTCTGATATGATAAATTGTTGACGTTTAAAGATTTGTATTCTACTCACGTATATTTTATCTAGCACAATATTCGCTAGGTTAAAATAAATAATACTTCCTACCTGATATTTTAAACTTAAAATATATCATATATAATAATACCCTTAAAAAGTATGTTCACACTAAAACCATAAAAATTATCATAGTTATTATACCATAATATATTTTACACTAAAAGCTAAACCAAAAACGACTTACAACCCTTTTTTCTTTGTTTAAATTTATGAAAACCTCAAGCATTGTTCTTGTTTTAGTAGCGTAATAATAATTCAGATTTTGTTCATAATTTCACTGAATTATTCCTTTATTTCACTGCTATGATTATTATTCCATCAGAAATAATACCATGAAATATATTTTATAAGCATATTTTGTTTTCTGTCTTAATACTCGAGGCAAATAACAAGAAAATAATTTGTGATTCCATAAAAACAAAACCAATTGTACATTTATTGTGAGTTATTGCCGTTTAAATTAACGATAATTAATCATTATTTTAAATAATAAATGCGCAGTTAAAATATAACCATTATTGTATTGGATTTAAAATTTAAATGGTATTTAAAAAAAAAAAAAAAAAATTTAAATCGCAGGATTTGGAATCTGAATCAAAAGTTCTATTGTTCACTAATTTCCATTTATATTATAAAACTTTTTACAATCCATCATTATTAGTATGTGTGTGTGAGTAATATAAATTAAGAAACACTCAAACTGTATTGCATATTATTTTTAAAACCCCCGATACCATTACGAATACTAATTACGTTTGTAAATATCAGGAAAATATTTGAAAAACAAAAGGAATTTAAACAAATTTATGTGGTACAGTCCACCTTCTGTACTTAACTATGGTATATATATAATAAATTATATACAAAAGGTATAATATTAATTAATTGTAATTATAATTAACAATTTCCTAACCAATTAAAAAAATCGATTCCGTGAAATTAATACGTAATCGTTATTGAACGTTTAAACACAGTAATATATAAAATATAAACTAATAAACATATATCCAATTTCAATTATTATTATCATTAATATTGAAAAATTCTATTTTATTAAATTTGTTGCCCAAATGTCTTCTGAGTAATTTTAAATACCTGCTAATTTTAAACATACGTTGAAATCCAATTTTACTGAAACATAATATTAATATTAAAACCTTATTTATCACAAATAATTTTTGTTTAAATAGTTGGATAGGCTACTGTGATCAATATTTTAAAATGTAAAATTATATCCCAAAGAATATTTAAAAACCTTTCTAAGTGCAAGTCAATTTACTGTTAAAAAAAAAAAAATTAACTGAAAATATTTTAATTAAAACTTCGAATATCAAAATAGTTTTAAAATATAGCTAAACATATCGATTAAAATAAAATAATATTATTTTATATTAAAAAAAAAAAAATTATATTCAAATAAATATTTGAATTGCCCTAATATGCTTAAATCACAAAAAAGTTAAACAATAAGGGTTAAAAATACCAAATACCTCGTTTGTTCCGATTTTTAATGATAGTTAGAATAAGTATATGATTAACAAATAAAATTAAAAACTTAAAATGTCTAAATAGAAAAATACTTCCTCCTATTTTATTCTTATATATCCTTGAAAGTTTTAAGAATCTAGGTTTATTATTTTCTGAATGAAAACAAAATAACCAAAAGTAGTTTTGCTGAAAACAGCTAGTTCTGTTTTATAAACTACAACAGTAGTTTTTTTATTATTTATTTTATTTTATTTTTTTTTTTTTAATAATGTTTCAATAGTTTTCGAATGTATTTTTTAAATGATTGTAAAATTCAATAAATTACTTCTTTTTTAAGTTGAAGATAAGATTTCCGATTAATTATTAGGTCATATAAAAACTCTTATAAGTTCTCCACTCTATCGATAACACGATCACGTATATACGAGTAACAGCCTCAAGAAACGTATATAAACACATTGTAAAGAACAGTTCACTATTTTATATTGCGCCCAGGTTCCAAAATGGTAATAAATTGTATAAAATATTTCGAACAAAAAAAAGTATACCTAAAAGAAATGCTGTTGTAAGTGCAATACTCATTAAATTTTGTATCAATTTTAGTTTACAATAAACCATACACTCATGTTTGGATAAAATCAATAATTTTCTTGTTTACTTAGAATATAAGTTATCTTGTGATCTACCGATCGAGAAAAAATAAACCCAATGAGAAATAGTATAAAGTTTACATAATGCAGGTACTTTAGCTTAACCTAGTTCACACAAATAGTTTAACCCACTTTTCATGTGAAAATATAAAAATATTTACAGAAACATTTTGTAATACAAGTGAAATTCATATTACTCTAGGGATGATTCGTGAAACAATAATCTCTTGGGTCCTATAATCATCTTATATTTATAAGATAAGTGCCAGAAAGTAAAATAGCTACCACTATTAACAATTCGAAAATATCTGTCTACTAAATTACGGAAATAATTTTTATTAAATAAGATCGCCGTGCAATGGTAATATACTCCTATGAAGTGTATTATTAATAATTATTATACTTACATTAATGTATGTAATTTTATGAAAATTTCATAATGATTTGTTTTTTGCTGTTCATAAGTATAAAAGTCCATTAGTTAAAGGAAATTGTCGATGTTTTTCAAAAAGTTGTGATTCTTAATATTTTGCATTTTTTTAGTAAATGATAAAAAAAATTCAAATTTGATTTCCAGTATGATATAATACAAACATTATTTACCAAGTTGGATGGACAATTTTGTTCAAATTGCACTGTACACTATTTGAATGTCACATTTATAAATTACGTAAGTAGGTTTTCTATACAGCTCTGCGATTTCAAACAAGAATCAACGATGAATGTACCTAAAAACCTGAAATGTAACAAGATTGTGATACAAGTGATTTAAGTAATATTATAAATACTTATTAACTTAAAAGTAAAAATTACACCCGTAAAACTTATAATTTATTTCGATTGTGAATTAATTCCAAAAATAAATATTTTAAGCTAATATATCAAGTATATAATGTTTAAGTATAACAGGTATATAATTTTAATTTTAATTATAAGCAAATAAATCACTGATTAAATTTAAACGTTCAACAATGCGATTCGACTAGCATGGTGATAAATTTTGCAATGAATACCTAAAATTTAATAAATTAATGACATTATATCAATGAAATTATATTCATCCGGTTCCTAATTCTTTAATTATAAATAAAACCATTTTTATAGCAATCGATCTACGTCAAAAAATAAAATAAAATAGATATATTTATATATTCCACACTTGGCATTATAAACTTGCTATAATCTCTTGGGGTAAAGGAAAATGCCAGCGGGGGATTTATTAATCAATTTTGACGCTAATACAGAGCACATCCCAACATGTACAACCTATATTACAACATTGTATAATTAGATACGATACGTGGAATATAGAACTTCAGGTTATAGCATATATATTATATATGAATTAACTATAAAAATATAATTCGAATATAAAGTTATATTGAATTATACTGAATTATTATTGAATTTATTTATTACTTTTATAAGCTATTTTTTTTTCTAATTGCTATACGTGTATTGATAAACTGTATAAAAGTATTCCGGGAGTAAAATAATGGTATAATTTATTATTCTTATATAGATAAACAAAATACAAATAAGTCGTGTGTTTAATTTGTAAAACTAAATTTGGATGTAAATGATATTACTTAATCCATTGTTTAACCCATTATTTGTTTCCGTGTTTTATATAACGTCAACTCTCTTTATCATCTCTCATCTTAAATGTGTTGTTATGGAATTATAATAAAAAATATAAATACTACAACCGAAGAGTTATAAAAACAATAATAAATAATGCTTGGTTCCGAAACAAAACTGGGCCACGATCATTATTCGATTCAATTCGACTCTTTATTTGATGCATTTTTAAAAAATAAACCCATCCCGTTTTATTTTAATATTTTTATTATATTGAGAAAAAGAAATAATAACTATTCCATTTAATTTCACCATAACGTATCTAATCCCCCATAGGCCATATGCGGTGCATCCGAGTTGGGTCCCGAGTACTAGGGACTAATCGCAGGTAGTGTACTAGTTGGGTCCCGAATTATTTTAGATACTACACCAGTTGGGTCCTGAATTATTTTAGGTATTACACTAGTTCCTAAATATTTTTTGGTAAGTACTACATTATACTAACATTTTCTTTCCCATTTTAACAGATTTAGGATTGTCTATGATCTATTTAGACCACAAGTATGGTTAAAAATGTTTTTTATAATTTTTTATGTTTTTTAGTTTCTTTTACATTAAAATATAAATTATTAAAAATATTAAAAATGTTAAAAATCAAGTATAAAAATACATATTATATAATATAATTATAGCCATATAGGTAAATTAAAAAATATTAAAAATTTTAAAATCATTATATAATATAAATAAAAATTAATGGAAAAAAAACTAAAAAACAAAAAAAAAACTATAAAAACATTTTTAACCATACCTGTGGTCTAAATAGATCATAGACAGTCATAAGTCTGTTAAAATGGGAAGGACTTAGTATAATGTAGTACTTACCAAAAAATATTCAGGAATTAGTATATACCTAAAATAATTCAGGACCCAACTAGTGTAGTACCTATAAAAATCCGGGACCCAACTAGTGTAGTACCTAAAATAATTCGGGACCCAACTAGTGTAGTAATTTTAAATTCGGGACCCAATTCGGAAGCAATCGCCATATGAACCCTGAATAAAATAAATATTAATGATTGGTACCGTATCAGGTGGTCATACTTTGTATTACTGGAACTGCTATTTGCCTTAAAATTTCTCGGGATTTCTACTCGCTAAATTAAAAAAAAAAAAGTTTTCGATTAAAATCAGTACTGTATGAAGTTAACATGTCAATAATATATATAATTTCCAATAGAATATACACGATTGGATTATAGGATTTTTACTCGGGTAATAATTTAGAAATTTAATGTTGTACTTACATTTACTCAGTGGTATCTACGTTGTAAATTTGAATATATTTTGAAACTATTGTGTTTTACAGTTCATTTGCTTATATATACATATTAAAATCATATTTTCAACTTATTCTGACAAACATTTTATTAAAATTTACAGCAAGCGGAGATTTATATAACTATTGATATTATAATGTTAATTTTTTTCTGTAAATTCTTTTTCCGTAATACACCAAGTCTCTATATGATAGAGAACTGTACCTAAGAGGTGTATTAAAAAGGTTTTTCGATTTTCTCAGCAATCTATCCAATTTTAAGGAAAAACTAAAAAAAAAAAAACTAGATTATGATATAATATGTTGTTGAATTTAAAATACAAGACTTATGTACAACATTGACTTACACCGAGTCGAAAAAAACAAAGCACATACAATTAATGTGTGAAAATAATTTCGATATCAATTTATATGGTTTAATTTTGACTTTCGACGATACTGTAAGTGAAGAAGACAAAATTGTATTAAACGTGAAAATCGTCTCACATCTACTTGGAAACTCATACGCATTGCCTCGCGTAATTTAGCTATAGGCAACCCCTGTGCCCGTTCCCCTAGACGAGATTGGAATCAACGTACGCTCGTGTGACGTGCATGAGTGTTTGTATGTGGTGTGAAATGGCAATATAAAAGAACTATAAATAATAGCAGATGATACATATAGAATATAAGCTCTTGACCGGTATACACTTAATTCCGGCGTAGACAACTGGCCGACAGTCAACGCGAGAAATTTGAGAAACCCAGCGAACTTCAAATATAATAGGTGAAACTGATGCTGAAATATAATCACCGGATAAATTATTATATTCACCTAGAAATTAATTCGAATTGAACGGTATTCTCTTGTACGTTTTATAATAGATTCCGGCCGCATAATACTCACTCTCGCGAGTGCCTACATTTTAATTCCGTGCTCATCGTGAATTTCCAGTTGGAAGTATTCAAATTATTGTTTTATAAGCTTCCTACTACGATGTCTTTGGCGTATTTTTAGCGGTTCCTGTTTACCCACCTCTAATTAACCCACCCGAATATAATATCTGTATATGTACCTGATAATTATGTTTATATATATTATGTCTTAAAATCTGCAAGGATTACAACCATATTTGACTAAATTCTTATTAAAATACTACCTAACTATTACTACTTGTTTAAAATAATCATTCGAGATCTTACCAGCCAATCGTGATTATTTTACTTCCATGTAAACATATATTTTTAAAATGAAATGCGAAATATCAAGAAGTCATGTTCCATTCATAAACATAATGCAAGACTTTGTAAAGTTGCAAATACTTCCAAAAATGTACTCACAAACGTAAACTACCTTAACTTTGAAAATTCCAAAAGTGATCACGGATAAGCGTCCAACTTAGCCAAACCACCATTGTTATGCTTGCCCTTCTGTACAGATATATGAAACGAAATTGTTTTTCAAGCTTCACATGTACTGACGGGTTTGTGAGTAATTATATAATGATCATCAACAGTTTCTTGTCATTAATAGAATTACAGAATGAAATGTTTACGCTTGTTTTGACGCTTTATTCTTTATGTCAATACTTAAAATATAAAAAATATTTTACGGTAAATATAAACTACGCGGCAGCTAAACATTTATGATGGGTTTTACGGTCCTCAAAAGTTCAAAAAATACAATGCTCAAAAACGTTCTCCGGTGCCTTACGGCATTTTAGCTTGTGCCATGTAGTGTACATGTATCATTTTCCGTTAGTCGTACGAGGTACGGCTGTATTATATACTATTAAAGTTAAGTAGTACAAAAACAATCTGAACTTAAAATACGAAATAAAATCCCCCGAAACCAATAAATAATTTGTGAAATAAGTTATGGTATACGGCTACAATAAAGTTTTAACTGCACGGAGTTACAAAACACAAAGTATCAGGAGTAATTTTGTTTACACCGCGTACGTAATAGACGGTGACACCAAATAATGGCGTTCCCTAAGTACGGTTTTAGTAAACTTTTGTCTCGCAATAAATTATTTTTGTCATTAATTGACTTTTTGTTATGCACATTATGGATAAAATATTATGACTATTTGTTGCGGAAATTATAACTTCATTGTACATGGTTTTTAATTAATGTAATAATCTGTTTTTCAGCACCTTATAACATACGAAACTTAAATGATGCAGTGTTCTCCAATCCTTTAGGAACGAAGCAATGTAAAGTTTCGGGAGTGCTTTACAACCACAGCCAAAAAGTATGTATACCGTAGATAATTTCATACTTTGTCACAAGTATATATATATATATATATATGAGTAAAATAGACAGTAAACTGTTTTCAAAAATATTGATTTGCGTTCAAAGTAAATAATTGTATAGTTAAATTACCAAACCCATTCAGTGTGGAACTATATACTATATTATTTCATTACTAAAACAAAGGTCTTATATAGTATTTAACAATACACTTTTATAGCTTCAGGTGCACCGCGATAGTAATAATATTATAGTAACATAATTTGGTAGCTAAAAAATACCAGCGATGCATGATGACTGTTAGATAATGTGCGTATCGATTAAATGATCCCTAGTAAAAATCAGAAGTATATTTATTTTTCATTAAAAAATAAATATTTTAAAATGATCATTAGTTAGCTAATATCAATAGTTGAACTTTATCAAAATGTACCAAACGTAATCCAAAAATTGATAAGCGTTATAGCAGAAAACATTTTATAAATAAACAAAATACGTATAGCACATATTAAGCTAAGTACACCCATTTATTACAAACAACAATATTGAATTCCGTATTTCAACAGATACTGTTTACTGACCACTGTAAGGCGTGTATTTGCATCGACGGTCAAATATTTTGTTACTGGCAGTGTGAAGAAACGGCTCATTACTCAACTGGTGAAGAAATTGAAGATTATACTCCATCTACGTCCACGGCAAACGGTAATAATTAATAAATGTGTAACAGATTAATGCTCAAACCGTCCATTAAGGTTATAAACTCATATTTTGTTAATCATTACAGAAGTAAAAATTAAATTAACAATCGTTAAAATAAAATAAAATACGTTTTTTATATAAATAAATTTATATAATTTGTTAAACTCAAATGAAATTCACTAACTTATGGTGTTCTAATAGTCATCTGAATCGATGTAATTTCAATGATAATAATAATTTCAAAAATAGTAGCATTTATTTACAGAAAAACATTCAACCGCGTACAATACACCAAGCAGGATTAAGATACTCACGAGTTATAATCTGATCTATGTATTTTAAAGTTCTATAACAACAACTGTAACAAAAACACAAAACAAATCTTAACTAACAGATCCCAAAACTCTAGATGCTTATTCACACATTTTATATCTGAACAGACCGCTTTATTTGATTTAAATTATTTTGTACTTACTTATTATTTTTCCCATTACACCAGTATTTTTAGAAGTTATATACAATCCCTCTTAAGAATTGAAAATAATTTTATTATATTTATATTATTATTATTTTTATTATTTTATTTTAATTATTATCATGGGTAGTTTTAGAATTTTTCAATAATTTTCTAGAATGCATCAGTAAAACTTTAAAAAATCCATAACAGATAGGATATCCGTGTTTAAGTAAAACTTATAACATTATTTTGCAACTTTTTAATAATTCTAGTAACTTATAATGTTCACAAATTCTTTATTTTAGTGTTATGTAGACCCAGTAGTTCAAAATTTAATCATTGAATTGACATATAATTTTTAAAATTGCTATTATTTAAATTTTACTATTTGAACATGTAGTAAAAAATCAAATTGTTTATTATTTTGAACTACTGTCAAAAACTGGAACTATTTTATCATTGTCTATACATTTTTATTTTATTATAAAAATTTAAGTTTTAATCTCGTCCAATCGTTCTGTTTTTACGAAATATGAAATATTCATACTACATTTTGGTTATTACTTGTCGTTTGTTACGTTTTGAGATTTAAATTAAAAAATTCCAGCCATGTTTTCACAAAATTTAAAATATCTATCATAAATTTAAACCAACTAAAATTATTTTTACATACGTTCATTAAAGTGTGAATGTATCGATGTAAAATGTATCGATTTTTTGTTTGTATAGATAACTACAACATAAACATTTTTAATCAAATAATTATTCAGTATAATATTTTGTAGTTATGTCTTTCGAGTGTCATCAATATGGTATGAAATTTTAATATATCCATATACAAGATTATACTGTACTCATAACATTTTGACAATCACTTCTAGTAAATTATATGTATGTGTGTATAGGTACTTGCTTAAAAGAGCGATTATTATTATTATAATATAATATTGTATGCATAGTAATCTATAAGCTTCAGTGGTCGACATCGTGATTCAAATACAGTGATTTATAATTACTATAATTTGATACATAATACACTTTCAAATTTTAAATGATAACACCACACAAGCCTATTCCGATATGTGAGCGGAGTGAGTGTCCGAATTTTGATCTCTATATTCTGTCGGTAATTTATTTTTATAAAACCCATTGTGTATAGGTAGATACGTATAACATTACTACTTGACACTTGCAATATTTACGAGTTAAAACAATTTTGCACACAATGAACCGTAAACCTGAAACAAGGCAATAAATAATCGGATAGTTATATAAGCCCGTAAAAAAAAAAAAAAGGGTTTTTACTATAAAAATATACATTGGGAATTAAATCTTAAAATCATAAATAGTATTATAGTTATAATTCATAATAATATACTAACATTATAATATTCGCGTGTGCGTTCATTATGATGTCAAAGAGGAACAATAATAATAACTCTTTCTGGGTTTTTTTTTATATATAGTATTACAGTGATTTTAACAGCAAGAAAAAGTGTTGACACCGTCGCCATTTTTATTATTGCATACGTTTACGATATTATAAACTGTTTCATCCTGATTCTCGGTATTCTAAAACTCTCCGTCTACTCCCCAGTGAATTTTTCTTTTAAAGGAAGCGCTCTTGCTCGCCTTTAGTAATTCATGTGTATTTAATGAAGTTCATAAAAGTTGTACATATTTATTTTGGTACTCCATAGTTATTATTTTAAACATAAATCCTACAGAACAAAATAAAATATATTTATAAAATATTCCATTTATGTTGAACTATAAGAAGACCAAACATATTGAATATTCATATAGTTTCTACAACCGTTTTTGAGTTAAATTTGTACAACCCCATGTCAATTATTAATACGGAGAATATTTGTTTATTATTTTTTCATCAAATATCATTTATATTTTTCACACGAAAGGTTGTATGTAACCAGTGTATAACATAATAAAATTTTATAATGTCAAATAATTATATATGTTGTCAATCTGTTTCAGTAATTTCAACTACCTTCGAAACTGAAGAAAGTTCAAAAGTGACAAACAGTATACCACATTCAAGCCCTTTAGATATTTTACAGTCAACCACGATTTCACCCAACGAAACAACTGAACCATTTTGTCTTGTTATGGGTAATTTTGTTGTTGTTTGACGATTAAAATTAAAATGATAATTTTAATAGAATATTAAATTTGTATAATAGGGGTTAGATACCAACCTGGTAGTGTTTTACCGAGAGACACGGGATCCTGTTTAGAATGCCAATGTGGCCGGAACTCGCAGATTACATGTAGCCCAAAGGACTGTATAACGTTAAATTCGTTAAGTGATGAAGATACCTCCGAACCAGAATTCTATGGTAACAATAACGGCGAACAGAACAATGGCAATTTCAATTTAGATATGTTTGCTGTTAATGTTGTTTAAAAAAAAAAAAATTCATTCAAAAATCTTTTACAATACAATTAACGACGTTTATTTAACAATAATAATTACTCGTAATGCCCATTAAACATTATAATCCACCCGTATGTTTTTGTTTTACTTTAACACAAATTTACCAGTGAATTTAGACACATTTTTTTCGACAGTGAATAATTAGTTTTTGTAACTACATCAATTAAGAACATTTATTATTTAATATTAAAATATAAGAAACGTTTAATCTAAAATACACTTATCGTCCGAATAAAAATAAATTCTTCGTTGGATGTCACGGTTTCATAATTACTATTTCTTATCAATTACAAAAATAAATTAGTGTTTGAAAATAAATTAATGTTTGTTTATTAAAATGTATGTTGTTTTGCTTCCTTGTTTAAGAAATATCCTGAGCAACATACATAGAACACTGAACAACTCGTTAACTATAATAATAAATATTATACCAATCAAGTATTTGATATTTGAACAATGCACACTTAATGCACCTATCATTAAAATTAAGTAACAAATGTAAACAATAAATTACCTTCACTTTATACAACAAAAATATTAATAAATAACTGAATCCTTAAACTTGTACTTGCACTAGATTTATATAAAAATTAAGTTAACTCTAAATAATTCCCTACTGTTATTCTTTATTTTCTGTCATGCATCGCTAGAAAGAAATTAACGACATTTTAATACCATAAAAATACTAAAATATTGAATCAAACTAACTTTAATTTAGAATAATATTATGATAAACTAACTATAATTATAAATTTATAAACAAATACACTATTTATGACTATTTAATACGCATGTATGTATATATTTTTTATTTTTACATAATATGTACATTTTCATATAAAATATGGTAATTAATTTACAACAAATATTAATTATGAATTATTTAATTATTTTTAATAATTTTGAAATTTATTTTGTTAGTAAGTATTTGATGTTTTACAATAACCTACTGTTTACTGTTCTTATTAGATTTCTTTCTTTACTAAATTTTATACTTACCACAATTGTATTTTGTTCATAATATCATAAGTATATTTGATTGAGCATTATGTACCAAGTGTGCCAAATAAAAAATAGAATTGTATAGTAATATGTTTGAACTTCTTAATTCATAGAAAAATATAGAAATATTTACTCGAGTAAAAATATTTTCGTATTAACTACTATAATAACAAACACTACATACCTACTTTTAAACAAATTAACTTTTTGTCATTAAATTTTTAGATAAATATAGCTACCATTCTAGATTTGTGTAACTTTTATTAATTATTGTTAAAAAAATTAAAAAATATAATTTAAGTAGTTAACCATATATAATTAGATTATATACTTAAAAATGTATATCAATTTTACAATACATATCTATATAAGTATCTAATTATAGAATATCTATTTCAAAAAAGTAATTAGATAGTTAACCTAATTTAATAATATAATAGTTATACTTAGCTTAAATATTTATAAGTAATAATAGTTTCATAGTATACAATGATTATTTTGTATTAAATGTTTTGAATAAATATTATACATCATGGTTAATATTTCATAAGCTAAAAACCGTTTTACATTAAAAAAATATGGTTCGTAAAAATTAAATGGACATCTAATTTATGGCTATTGTTATTTTTTTTCTGAAACATTTTATAATCGTCACCTGCCTTTTTTAATAAATTGAATAATAATTAAAATCAATAATTATAGGACTTGGATTTTGTAGCAAAATAAATCCTTAAAAAGCATTTACAAAATATAATAATATTCCATCTCTTACGATTTAAATTTTCAATTCAATCTCCGGCATTTTCACGATTAAATTGTATAGAACAATACACCTCACTGATTGCTATTTACCGATCAAGTAAAGTATTTGAACGAGCTATAAAAATACACAGATATAATTCAGAATATTTTCCTATTCTTTAAGTCATAAATATAAATTATAATTACAGTATTTTTGATAATGCTACAATTTTGGCACAATAACGATAATTATTTTATCAGTCATTAATTTATTACTGGTTTTATAATTTCAAGAAATAATAATATAATCAAATAATAATATATATAAAAATATCATAAATTTTTTTGAAAATTATGTAAAAATTGAGAAAAAAAATCAAATGGGGTAAGTAGAAAAAATACTCTTTTTATGGAAAAGAGCAAAAAAAAATACATAAGTTTAGTTTATTGAAAACAGAACGATTCAAAACGTATTCAAGTATAAGAATTATTTTTCTATCACAATCCCATCAAAAGAAGCATTTTCTACAGAATTCTAGTCCTAATACTTAAGAACTAGATTTGTCTATTACGTATTTTTACGTCTATTTACGCATATGAATAAATTGAAAACCCGGTATTTATAAATCAGTATAAAACCATGTTCAGTAATAGAGTATTTAAGAAAAATAAATTTTTAAAAATCAGCGACAAATTTAAATTGCTAGGAACTAACGGTACAGTAGAAGCATCAATACATACAGACAGAAATTGGGTGCACTTAGGAAGCTTAATGAAAAATTACGTTCTCTAAGTAAAAATGCATATCTCACAAAAAGTTTTTTTTGTCACGTAATGGATAAATTTAATAAAATATTAAAGTAATAAGTACACCAAATTAGCTAATTATAAAAAAAAGGTTTACAATATAAATTCAAAAATACGTCTACCTTATGCTATATTGTATTGTACAATTATTTCTCTTGTTGTATTTTGAAATTTATAATTTATTTAATTTTGAAATAAATAGAATGACCCTCAATCATAAAAGATATATTCGAGAACGATTAATCAGTAAGTGGTAATTATAACTCATTAATAATAACTAGATTCTGTATTTAAATGAATTTTATTCGTTACTAAATTTATAATTTACAAAACAAAACCTAAACATTTATGACAAAAAAAAAACTTCAATTATTTTCAAGTTTTTTTAGGAATATATAATTTTAATGAAAATAACTCAAAAATCTTTGTTTTATTTTATAAAAATTAAAAACTCAAGATGATGACATTGTGTAAAGACATGAAATAAAACAAATTACTCCAAGTCCATCTGTTATTTCTATGGTAATTGAACATATAAATATAGAATATTAAATAATCTTAATCATAAATTTGATATAGGAGGTTATGTTGATGCTGAATGTAAAAAAAATCTTAGTAAGAAGATAAAATTTATATTTTACAAAACATGTGGACATCTGATTTTAAATTTAATTATTTATATTTCAATAGCGGAAAATATAAACGTAAATTTCAAATGCAATGACTTGAAACATTCAAATGGTTTACTTATTCAAAATTGAAAGAGGGTTCGTTTTGTACGTTCTGTATGCTGTTTTTAAACACAAGTCTGGCTGGTAAGAGTTCACATAAGAAATTGGGCAAACTTGTTTCAAAACCCTTGAAAAAATTGAAAGATGCATTAGAAGAACCAAAAAATAACGATACTAATTTCTGTAGTTTGCTCCTATATCGCGCGAAAAATTGTGACAATGTATTAGTCAAATATTTTGAAACTAATGGTGGTAAATCTATATATACTAGCCCACTTATACAAAATGAAATCATAAATTTGTTTGAGAATTTGATTAAATAAAAAATACTTGAAAGAGTATAAAAATTAAAATGGTATACAATACTTGTAGACAAAACTGATATTTCTTAAACTGAACAATTTTCGTAATGAATTCATAATATTAACAAGGAATTTTTTTCAATTTGAGAAAATCTTTTTACATTTGTTTTCGTATATGAATTATCTAGTGAAGGATTGACCAATACGATCAAAGAAACTTAAAAAAAAAATGTTTTTGATTTTAACAAAATGCAAAATTACAAATTGAACAAATTACGAGACTGCAGCGATACGTGGTCGTTTTAGAAGTGTCTAGATAATTATTAAAGATATTTATTCAAAAGCTTTATATAAACACTGTGTATCACACTCTTTAAAACTTTGCTTATCAGTTGTAACAAAATCTCGAGATATTTGAAATACTTTTGATATAATAAGTGTTAGATTTTCCTTTTATAACTATTCGTCAAAACGAACAACTGTCCTTTTAAAGTAAAATAAAAGAAATTAAATCAAATTCACAATTCATAAAATTGAAATCCCTTTGTGAAACTCACTAGATGGTACACTATGAGGCAGTTAGGCTTTTTAAAAGAATGTTTTAACCCATCATTGCTGCGTTAGAAGAAGTGCAAGCAGGCCCGTACTGGCCCACCGAGAAACCGGGCAGATGGACGTCCATGAAAATTACGATACATGACGCACTCATAAAAATTACCGCTATATTAAGATTTTAGAAAGATATTCATTGATTCTCATTAACAAGTAATAACCCAATAGTCTTGAAAAACGTTTATATTTTTGTGAAGACAAGCGTGAAACCTAAATTATGATTCTTTAATCTGTAATCTATTGAGCCATAGGTGACCTGAAGGATTAAATAACAAAAATTAAGTCACCCTTAAATATTTTCATAACTGCCCCATAAGAATAGCCAGTACGGGCCTGAGTGCAAGATTAATGTTCTAGGACGAATTCTTCAAAAAGGGCTAATAATCATCTACATTGTACTTGTAATTTTAGATTTTTTATATCTATTTTTGTATTCAGTAAATTATTAAGTTATTTTTATAATTTATCTAAATATGTACAAAGCAAAAATATTGATTTATATAACACTTTTAAAAAAGTAATCTATGTAGTTTCTGTTCTTCCTAGAAAATGTTAATTTAAAATTGAATGATATTTATAAAGAAGCCAAAATAACTTGGAAAAATATTACAAAAAATGTATTTTTATACCATACCTGAATGATTCGATAATAGCTTTAAATTAAAAATTTAAACCTCACAATGAAACTATAATCTCATTACAATTAATCTTACCATGCATTATAATTGAAAAACCATTTTTTTGTTTAAAAAAAGCTGTTGACGTTTATGAAAATGATTTACCTGGTCTAAACCATATTATAAAAGCAGAGTATGTAATTTTGGCAGGTTAAATGGGAAAAATATCGAAGAAAACCCAAGGTCCGTAACTGCTACCTAAGCAGAGTTGCTGAGATCGTTTGATGTACGTGTCATAATGATTCCTATTTCCATCGCTACAGCTGAACGCAATTTTTGAACGTTGAGAAGACCTAAATTTAAAATAACCTAAATAACCTATTTGAAAAATGACTTCAGAATCGACTCAAGTTTCTGAAACCAACGTACCAGTTAAACAGCTAAATCCCACGGAATGTAAAAAAGTTATCAACAATTGCAAAATGAGTTTGAACTACGATACCAAAAATGTGAAAAACATGTGTCAATTGTAGTGGATCCAGTGGCGTACATTCAATCTTGCTCTGGGGGGGGGGGGGTTAACAAAAATAATCGTTATCTTTTTTTTTTCGTTGCACAGATAAATAAGATAAATAGATATTATTTTATACAACTTTTTCACCAATTTACAGTTTACTTTTAAATTACAGTAAATTAATAGCTATTGGAATATAAAAAGAGTGTAATTAAAAAAACTTTTCAAACACCTATCAATATAATTATTTAATTATCATAATATTTGTATAGTTGTATATTATAAGTTCAAAGCGTAATAATGAAACTACGAATATATTACACGTCATCAATAAAACAATTCTCTTTTTTTTTTGGCCCTGGGGGGGTTTGAACATAGGACACATGCACGCAACTGAATGAACCATTATGCGATGAACATTCAATCACAATTCATAAATTTGGTAACTGTAAACAGTTGTAATTATTATTTTTCGTTTATATTTTTGTTGTATTAAAATAAAGACTATATGATAGCATTTTTATAATAAAACTGTAATTCATTTTCAACAAAAAATAAAACCTAATTGATAAGTAAAAAATTTTCCAATTTATCTATAAATTCATAAAACTAACAGAAATATCTTCAATTACAACTCCATTTCAAAACAAATACTACAATGGTTTTATATATTTATGTTTTATTGACTGAACATTCATGATGAAAACTAAATATTTGAATGCTATGGGTACTCGGGGACCCGGTTGTTAACAGTAGGGTTAAATAGGTATACATTGTATACGCTAGTAAATTATATAAGTAATGTTATAATATTATGTTCATTTTTCACACAATTTTATTTATTTATCATTCATAGTGAATATTCTATTGGAAATGCGAAAAAATAAATTTGTTTTTATTTAGAATTACCTTAAAAATGTTGTCACCTCCTTAAATATTTCAGAAAGGTTATTGCTTCCCCTGGATGTAGCTGTAGTCGTGGTTTTAGATACATTTTGTCACTTGTGGTTCACTTCAATCCAACAGCATTACACAATTACGGCCATTCACGGGTACCTATGCTGTAGCCATATAAAAAGTAAATAAATATATGGAAACAATATTCAAGTATGTTATAAAAATACAATACAATACAATACAATATAATAAAAATAAAATACAATTTTAATGTTTATTTATTAACTTATAAATATAATAAGTAAAATTTTTAAGAAAATGTAATTTGATAAAAATCAAAATACATAATAAAACTTAATAGGATGATATTTAGTAAAATTAGATAACGATTATTTATCTTTAATAGTAGTGTTCACTCGGCGTGTTACCAAAAATATAATTTAAATATAAATGTTATTTATTTACAACAATTTATTTGATCAATACAAAACATCGACAGATATAATTAAACATGTAAAAATGTAAATAAAAAGGCATGGTTCAAATACATTATTTCTCATTTAAAATTGTATGTAAATCCTGATGATTCTTGTAATTTTACCTTGAAAATTGTCGTACAAAGTATTTAAGGGTTCTCTTTTTTTTTTGTATTTATGGTGAGCCTGCCGCGGTCGGATAGGATATGTTTCTCTTTTCCTTATTTTTCATACTATTTCTCCCTTTGATTTCTTTATGCGTTACTTATGACTAACTAGTTTTCAGGTTAAGTAATTAATTAATATCATTTAGTTTTAAATTGATTTAGAATCTGAATGGAATGATGAATATATTGATTGTACAATGGTGTACATTTGTTTGTGTCTGTGTACAAACTTTTGACCAGAAGAATCATTAATAAGGAAATAAGTTCAAGTTGGTATTCTGATTGGTACTCAATCTTTCTACAGGAAAAGTAATTAAAAATGTATTTAAGTTACAACAGTCTTCTGAATATTGCGAAAAACTGACAAATTATAAAAAAAATGCAAAATTTGCAGCATACTGGTTTTCGACTAAATCTAATTTTATTTTTCATGATAAATTAAAAATAATAACCGTAGAAACATAAAATTTTTATTAAAAGCTGACATTACCGTTCATTATAGATAGTATTAGATCTTGTAAAGATCTGTTTAGCTATTTAAAACCTAGCACACCAGAAAAAACATCCAAAATGACGCTCCTAAGAGAATAGCAATTATTATTACCTACCGATTTTACTCTTGTTATAATTTTAAATTTAATATACTCATAATTTCACTGCCATAATTTTACTTATTTTTATTAATTAATACATTTTTATGGTAAATGCATTTTATTTAAAAATTTGCAGAATTCTTAGGTCATTATTCCACTCTAGAGTCTAAAGAATAGATAACGACTCTTCAATATTAATTAAAATTACTATAATTGTAGATAAATATTGTTTCATAACCATGTAATATTAAAATTGAATAGTTACATTTTGCATATTGAAGTAAATTTCTAAAACAGCAACCATGATGGAGAAAAACGAATAATAAAATAGCATGTCTAATAATTGGACTGATTTATAAATCACGAGGTTTTAGACAAAATGAATATTATAATATATCTTCTTAATATCCTCAATCATAAAAGTTGAGTTAAGTATACTAGTATAACACATCTTAAATACTTGTATTACAAATATTAACATAGATTATATCATTATGAATTCATTAATACTTACACTTCAAACATATTTAACGCCAAAATGCCATTAACAATATAAACGATGACTTTCTAGTTCTATAACACATTTTATCCGAACAATTGAAATTATTTTGGTAACCTTTAAAATAAATCGAAGGCTGAAATTAAGAAACTACTATAGTAATTACTATCCAAATAGCTATTTATACGTATGTATACATATAACTACAATGTCCATTACATAAACCAGTAATTTGCATCAAGTTATTCGAAATGCCAAGGCAATAAATAAAGTGTCACAAATTTGAAAAAAATCCGTTTTGGTCGGTAAATATGTTTTATTACATTTTCCAGTATCCAAAACCAATAAATTATAAAGACCATAATGTAAACAAAAAAATAAAAATATAAATGGAATCGTAAAAATAAAGTTTCAATTATAGTCTATGTTAACAGGTCGTATGTACTAGTAGTAGGTACTACTTCGTACTAGGAATAATTTAGTCGGCGTAGGTAAGTTTGTCAAAATATGTAGCTTATAATTATAAACCAAAGATAAGTTAACGAACAGGCTGTTATATATTGATGTAAGATTCCGTTTCAGTTAACATTTGAAAACCCATAAGAAATTTCGTAATCAAAGAACGAAATTAAATGGCAAAACACGTACCATTCACGAAGAAAAAAATAATTACATAATACGGTAACAATAATAATATTCAGTAATATTATTTAACAATATTGAGTTTTTACGTTATTTACGGTAACGCGGTTCGAACCTCTTTGGCGGCGATCGACGATAATACGCTCTCCAATGGTGTGTTGTTTCCGTCGCGCGCGCGCGGTTCTTTGTTGTCGGCATGCGCGCTTTGGGATAACGCCATTGCAGTGTGACCAACGTGCGGCGCTTCCTGCGTCTTCACCGCGGCGGCGGGGGTCGCGGTGTCCACGCGTCCGGGAGAAGGGATACGCGGCGCTCGGGCACGACCGATGATGATAGCCCCCCCACCACCGACGATACAGGACCGCCATTTGCGTTTACAGAGATTAATAATCGTCCGTGTGTGATAGCGTCATTTCGTGTGTACACCATTCCGTACGTATTGTCCCCGACGTCGGCCGCCCGCCCGCGCACCGAGTGCCCGTTTTTATAATCGTGCCGCGACAGTGAATCACCCCTCTGTGATACAGTGACAAAACCACGCCAAGCCGACATCGTTACTATTATGTAGTGGACGCGATCGGTTGATACCACTAGTTAGTTTACGCGCGCGCTCGATAGAACAGCGAAACAGACCCGTACTCAACCATGGACAGCAACGGCGAGACGAAGCAGCAACAGCAGCCTCCGCCACCGCCGCCGCCGACGAGCGCAACGGATCTATATCAAATATGCCGTCTTTGTCTGAGTACATTGAACACGGACGAGGGTGAATCGGTATTCAACAACCAGGTGCCTTCGTTGCCGGAGAAAATTTACCGCGTTTTCGGGGTAAGTGGTTTGCGGTGGCGCGCGTGAATAATAAATACGGGCATTGTTTATGGCGGTTTTGTTAACAGGAGGAAAATATTGTTAACAGATAATACAGGAAAATACGAAAACGTGATAATGCGTCCGGCGGCGGCGACCGATAATGGCGTTGCGCGGTTTTATCATCGCCGCGACTATTTTCATTATCTCCCTATCTCTCTTTCTCTCTCTCTTGCACTCTGTGCGTGCGCTCGTCCAACGTGTTAACGCTCGCTTGTTGTTTCTTATAATAATAATTATTTCCATGGTTATTGCTATTATTACTATTATTATATGTAACCGTTCTGCGACAGGTATATGCGCACGCGGTTCGTACAATGTATGTAGCGTAATATTGCAAACAGCAATACGTTACTATCATTTACGTGCACGCTCGGAAAATCTGTATAGTCCGTGGTGAACGCGATCGCCACCCTCGTATCTCGGTCGGCCCCACCGAGTTTCGTAACGGCGGGCGCGCGCCTAATGAATATTATTGATAATGGCGACCGCCGCCTGATAGGCCATTGTTTGGCAACCCGTAATCACACGCACACAAATGCGCGCGTGCGTTTACACATTTATACAATGATGCGCGTGCGTGCGGTTTCATCAACGATTACAACTTACCGCCGTAACAACACTATTATCGTCGTCGTTTGTTAACAACCACAATAACACTACGATGAAAATATTATTATTATAATCATTCTCTTTCTAGCTCTACAATGATAACATTTTTGATTTCAAAAAAAACATCGGATTTTTATGGGATTTCGCTATCCCATCATCGGATCGACCACGGCGACATTTCATCGGTTTTTTTTTTTTTTTTATCATCACGCACATCGACATCATTGCATGTGTGTGTGTGTGTATTTTTTTCGTCTGTTCCTCGCGTATCCGTACTATACTCTCCCCACTCTGCGCAAACAGGTTTTATTTTTAGACGCCCCGGTATCTCATGTGTGCCCCTTTGGTTTTTTCTCTTTATCACGCAGCCCGTTTTATCGTCACTGTTCTTCAGTGTATTCTTCAACACAAACGTCCTTATTATTGTCATTATTTAGTTTACTGTACACACACACACACACACGCATTTAAATTAATTATATGAATATATTTTTATACATAAATTTAAAAAAAAAAAAAATCCCCGGTGATTGAAGTTCAAATCGCACATAATTCGGTGAAAACGGTCTACTGCTTCTGACGATAAAATATTATAGTTAACTGGCTATTTTAGTCGAATTTTAATACACATAACTAACCATTATTTTTCGTTCGTATTTAAGGTATAATGTACTATCTACCTATTGATAATAGTTATATTGTGATTTATATTTGGAATGATTATAGATTTTTACACTTATACGTTACACATTCTTGTCATTTAAAAACAAATTCATTTTTAACATTAATGTGTTAATCATCCTTGATACTTTTTTTCATAGCCCTTAAGCATCCAAACATTATAAATTATATTTTTGAAATACTAAATGTTTAAACAATGTATGTGTGTATTAAATTGTTGATTTTCAACTAATTTTAATGATATGAAATTAATAAGTAAAAATGTTATGTATGTTACATAAATAATCAGAAAATACATAATTTATTTAATAATTGATTTAAATTTGTTCAAGAACAAAAAATAATAATTTATTTATATTTACAAATCTTAATTTTTATTTGTACTCATATTCATTACTTTTTGTAAATTATTATTACTCTGGTATAACTAAATAGAGTCAGTAGATACTTATCAAATACTTTTTTTACATTTCTGAAAATATATTTTATGTTTACTTATACCTTAATATTTTTTATTTTTATTATAAGTTATATTTTTCATACAATTAATTTCATTTAAATAAGATATAAGATTGCTCATAAAAGTATTGAACTTACAATTTACTTGATATTTAAAACAATTTTATTTTAATGGAATTTATGCTTTCAATCTTAATTTCTTTATAATCAACATATCCAAGTATTTAATTACATATTTTCAAAGCATTAATTTATTACAAGTCACTATTGAAAAATAAACAACTTGCTACATAAGCTTGTATATATTAATTCTAAATGCATTTTCAATTATTTACATTTTTAGATACAAATCACTGATGCTAAAGATTTGCCAAATAAACTTTGCTCAAAATGTGTGCAAAATACTGAACAGTGTTATAGCCATAGAGAGACATATAAACGCCAAGAACGAGTTTTGTTTGATATGATTAAAAAACCAGCAGTTGTAAGAATATATTAAAATACTTAACTGCAAAAAGAGTTTAAAAATAATTTTTTATGATAAAAATAGGAGGAAGCTAAGAACTCACCAAATTCTGAGTACGTGTATAGTCCTGCAGATTCAAATCACTCATCATCGTCAGGTGTATCATCTGATCCTCGTTACATAAAGGCAAATAGTTCTACCAATAACATGAACAATAATTCAACTTCTCCACCGTATGAGACTAATGCATCTCTTGCTTCTCATGGTAGGTATAAAACATACACTCGAAATAGAGTGTATGGATTTTAATTACTTTTTATTCCTATAAAACATTTATTCATATATAGTTGAAGTTATTCAAGGGTGTGATGAAATGGCAGCTGAAGTGACAATTGCTCACGATTCAGAAGAAACTGTTTCTGGAGATGATACTATTTGTACTGACAATAATGCTGAGTATGGAACATACAATGATGATGAAAATATAATTGTGGTCAAAACTGAACCTGATGATGAATATGATGAAGAATAGTAAGTTATACTGTTCAATTATTTTTTTAATAAAATAAATGTATGATACTATTCACAATTAAACTAATATATTAAATTAATAGTTTCAATGGTTTGTATAGCGCTAAAAATGATGAAGGAAACGAAAATTATGACCAACAAGATGGACCTAAAGTAATTGCTAGTGTTCAGTTCCCAATTGTGAATGGTACAATTGTTAATGGTACCCATAAAATTGGCCAAAAGCAATTTTCTTTAGTAAACTGTATTCCAACATCTTGGGTGAGATATACTTAATAAAATGATTTAAAGTTGGTTCATAGTCATTAAATATTATGTATTTTTATTAGGCTTCTAGTACTAGTAAAGATCGTCGTAAACAAAGTTGTCCAACTAGGGCATTAGAGCTAAGTGGTTTCCGAACACAAGTTGCTGGTGATGATACTAATTCATCAGATGAAGGAAATGTTTCTAATTGGACAACCAAAAAAATTCGATCCAATTCCCCTGCTGTTATTGTAAAACCTGCATACGCATGGCCAAATTTACAAGGCACTGGCCAAACCCTAATATTTCAAACAAAAGTCAGTATTCAAAATCTTAACAATTAATTACAAATTAAAGTTTAATATATTATTTATAATGTTAAAGAATCCTGATGGTACAACATCTGAAATACGTCCACAAGTTATGCAAGTCGGTGAATGGGCCAATAATCAAGGTCAATCAAATGCCCCGACTGATCCATCTGATCGTATGGGTATGCTATTATTTGCTGCTACTCATATTCAAGAACTGTCTACTGAAAGTGATGATGGTCAATCTCCCGGCACTCCTAAGGGTGCAACTGTAGTACGTGGGAAATTAGTATCTTCTGACCAAAAGCGTAAATTATATCAGACACAAGCTACAATTAGACGGTATTCAGATGGTCATCAAGTACAACAACAGCAAGTTAAAGACATTAATGCTTCACCAAACATACCTAGAAAACGCACTGTAACTAAAAATTACATTTTTATCATTTATTATTATTAAATTTAATGTTTTTATTCAGGCAAGAGAATCATCAGTTCAAAGAATGTGTAGTAACTGTGGTACTACCTGTTCAACAATATGGCGACGCTTAAATGAAGACCCAGTATGTAACGCCTGTGGATTATACTATAAGCTACATGGAAAAATTAGACCACCAACAATGAGACGTGATACAATACATACAAGACAACGTAGAAAACGATCAGACAACGGTTAGCATTCTCGACTATTTTAATAAGCTAGAAAAATATCAATCTTCTTTATTGAAAAACCTAATATATTTCTGTTTTTAATCAAATTTCGGACGTCTCCTTTCTGTCTTTAAACTAACACCCTTCTAGTTACTTTTATTATTCACGTTGTGTAGTTTACTTTAGCTATGTGCCAAATGATTGTATTTCTTTCTTTTTTTTTTTTCTTTTTTCTTTTTTTTGGTACACTAATATATTTATGCAACCGCAGCACATTAAAAACTAAAATTAAGCGGTGGTCAGGACAGTTATACAAGATTTTACGCTTGCTTCAGGTAAGAATGCCAATGCGGTAAAAGTTCATGACATTAAGTCATAATTTCTTGTTTATTATTTTATTAATTTTTATATATACTTATAAATCTTATAACTATATATATTATAGAACAGCTTGTAATATGCTTAGATTAATTATATTTTTAAATTAGACTATTATTTATTTTTAATCAATTTACTCGCTCATATTTTACTAACTTTTCACTAAAATTATAATAAATGCATAATTTTTGTTAGCATGACCATAATCATTTTGTAATTGATACATGTTTCAATCCAACTGTGTAAAAATCAAATATGTTTGAAAATAGTTTAGTTTTAAGTACTTTTAAAAATATTAGTTGTCTAAAATAATAGTATTATGGAATATTAAAGTTGAAATTTAGTTTCTTAACAAAGCATTAAACTAATTATTAATTTATTAAGAAAAACATTTAAGTTCAATATATTCAGGATCTACTTTATGTATTATTTAAGGTTAAAAATAGTTATAAATAGCAATTAATTGACACAGGTTAAATTTTAATTTATGAAATATTTCTTTATAAAATTAATTTTATAATTAATATTTTTTATAAATAATTAATTTTCAATGTTTTTGTTTTTTTTTTTTTTTTTTTTTTTTTTTTTTAATATAATATATGTTATTTAAACTTCTGGATATATTATTAAAGTACAAAACGAAAATTGTTTTATGAAACTCATTTCTTATTGATATATTAGTCTTTCAGGACCATATTGAAACTATTGTATTAATATTTTGTGATAATTCTTGCCATTATTATGTTGCTGTTATAGTTATTTTATTTGAAGTATCATATTTAAATAAACAGTTAATAATATTTTCTGGTGGATAGTTTAGATTGCTTTTTCTTTTTAATATTAGCATATGGTGGTTGTTATTATCTGCTTAGTAAACATAATAAATATAATTGTTAAGAATTTAGTACTTACATTTCTTTGTACTCTTATTTGTTAGTTCTTTGGCGATGGGTTCTAAATTGTTTACTATGTATTTACATAAAAAAATTATTATAAATTACTATCAACGTTATTATTGTAATAAACATTTATTTTATCATTTAAAATGTAATCCAAAATATTATTATTTGTGAGATTCACGTGCCCACTTACAGCTCATTGTGGAGTCGTCCGATTATTCATCAGAACAGTTAAAAATACTTAAAAGTTTATTCTTGTGTAGGTATGGACATAAGCATGAATAAGAAAAAAATCAAAATAAAAAAAGCAGAAGATTGTAAAATAGAAGAACAAGAGTATGAAGTAGAACAACCTCCATCGCCTAATTCAGCGGCTGTACAAACTATAATTGAAGAACCTGTTCAAGATGAAACACCATTAAATCTTGTCAACAAATAAAGAGCATGTGTAATATGCAAGGTTCGTCATATTCCTCCTCTTAATTTTTTTTTTCTCCTAATATTGTATATGTGTAGTTAAAAAAATTACTGAATTAAGTATTGAACCTATATCTTGTTCTTTAAATAGTAATCATAGAATGTTTTGCATGCATGCATTATATCAACATATCTGAATTTCATATGAAATCAAATTGATTTTTTGACCTATGTTATTAAAAATAAAATCAAAACTGTATTCATAATTTTTTCTGTGGACAATTGTACAAATATTTTTATAAGTTAATATTCAATATCCCTCCCATTCCATTTTATAGTAAGATGCAAGACCAACAAATAACACTGTTGTGTTATATAACCTATGTATGTCATTACTGTTGCATATTTGTTTGGTCAGTTGATTAAATCTATAAATATATATATGTATCATTTTAATTTTAATTTATCATTGAAAAATGTTAAGAATTTTTATCAAAACAAACCTCAAAATAATGTATTTGATTTATATTTTGTTTGTTTCTGCCACACCAACATAATAGTAGGAGGTGTTCTTTATTTATTCATAAATATCCACATTTGTAGTTTCTCTTTATATCTTAAATGTCTACCTCTATCATGCACCAAACCCTCCTTACTTATTTTTTTTTTTTTCAACGTAAAACTAATTTTAATATTAATGAAAAAAAATTTAAAATTAGCATTTTAAGGTTTATATATTTACATTGGGTAGTCCATTAATGTGGTAAATACATTGAAAATGGAATCACTTAAGTAAGTGTGTGTATGTATAAATTATTGATATTTTTACAAATTTTCTATTAACTTTTGTGTCTGTAAAACTTAATGTTTACATTATAAATAAAATAATCTTATTTAGGACATTTTCATTCAAAGGGTAATCATGTTAAACTGAAGCAACAAATTGTTCAGAATATAATGTAAATTGAAAATAATTAGATTTCGAGCTTAAGTTTCTATGAGTATATGATTACTATATGATTTATTTGTTAAACAATTAAGTAACATACTTTTTTCTATTTTTAAAATTAAAAGGCGCTCGCTTAAAGTATATAGCTTTAATTAATAATGGCTACTAAATGTTCAGTCACTGAAATCTTGTAAATGCTTAAAAATATTTTTGACTTCACTAATATAATTTGAAAATTTTGTATTAAAATATAACTTTAGGACTTATATTCTTTAAAGTTTAGTATGAATGGATAAGGTTACATGATTAAAATTATAATGGTTCATGAGCTGAACAGTAAACATTTGTTTTCTTTGATACATATTGGTGACTGAGAGTTTTAGCTATACATATATATGTGGGCATACATATGTATATGTATTTATAATGAACATGTGTACATAATTTTGTGATTTATGAAATATAACCTAAATATTTCAAATAGTACTGTATAAATGCATCAATGATATTTGTCTATTGGTGAATATGACTATGAATTCTATTTGTCTAAAAAATAATTTTCTTAAATTAAGATAATATAAATTAACTCATAATTTATATGCTAAATAAAATTTCATTTTTATATTGCACTATATTAATGCAGAGAACAGTTTCTTATAAACTTGTTAAAGTATTTAATGTTTATTTATTTTACGTGTGCTTAATTAATAACATTTAATAGCAATAATTTTCTTTCAGTTAGTTGTTGTATAAAGATTATTTTTCAATTAGTATCATGTTAAGATATGTTTATTACTTTGTTTTGTAAACTTCTATCTGTACTTATATTAATTATTTTTTTTTTTCAAATCTGTTTTAGAATGCATTTATATTAAGTCTATAGAACTTAATATTTTTGTGTTATTTTCTAGTATAAAATAAATATCGTACACTATTATGTATTAATAAGTAATCTTTATAGATGATTATTATTTTCCAATTATTATTATTAATTTAGAGCGGTATGTTTTTATTATAGCTTTGAATGAGATTTTAAGTTTAGAATTATAAAAATTTAAACCATATATATTAATTGTAATTAAGAAGTAACAATAAAATTTTAAATATTATTTTATTAATTAAGTATACTTTTTTTATTTAATTAAATTAATACCCATTGTTTCCTTATACATTGTATTTCCAGCATCAATAATATATATACATTTTTCTTACTATTAATGAACTAATATTATTTTATTACTTTTCCCACTATTTTAGTTCCAAATAATATTTATAGCATATATTCAGGTAAACTAGTTAGTTAACTTCTCTAGATTTACTAAAACATTTAAAAAAAAAAAAATTATTCTTTACACATACTAAACCAAACTCATGAAGTTTATGGTTATTAAAAAAAAAAATAATTGCTCAAGGGTTGATTCAATTACTGCTAAACCTTATGTATTAATATAATTTTATAGTAATAAGGGATTCATCACAATCAGGCAAATCTTTGAAGAATACAGAAAAAATAGAATTTTTCAAATTAATCGAAGTAATAAACCTAATATAGCTAAAAATCATAGATTAACAATCAACTAAATAATTAAATTTATAGAGACAATATTTTCACAGTACTGCAGTGTTACTGAACATAATATTTTATATTAATCTTAATAGTTATTATTTTCTTGTATTATTTTTTTATTTACTTATGTACATACTTAAAACTAGTAAATTTAAATAACCATCAGCAATTGAGTCCCAAAAAATTTCAGATGTGAAGTTAAACTAAGCAATTTAATTTCATAATTTATTTCAATAGTTTATTATATTTAAAAAAAAATAATTTAAAACTAATTTGAATATCACAACAAGAAGGTCAGGTAACTTATTAATATACTAACATATTTAAAGAGTTTAATTAAATTATGATATTGATCAAAAATAATTTCTAACCATCCATATAACTTGATATAACTCAAAATATGAATTTATTAACCGTTTTGGAGTTTACTTTAAGAGTAACAAGGTGTATTAGATAGGCTAATGTAGTTGCCTATTTTCAAATTCAGGTAGGTGTTATATTAATACAATTTTAAAAATATTGTATATCGACAGCTACATGCCAAAACTTCGTAACTCCATTTATACAAATTGTTAATCTCGTAACTTGAGAGTATTTTTTTTTTCAACTTTTAAATACGAGGTTTTGAAAATACAGTTTAACCATTACACAATGTATTGTACAACAATCGTTTTTACAACTTACACAACTTACACTACCAATGCTATTTTTAGCAGAAAGTGAAATTTACAAAATGTCAAGTTACGAGGTTTTGGCACGTAGCTATCGATATCATACAATTAGGTATATCTAATTAGTCCAATTAGTATATTACAACTTTTAAATTAAAGTAAAGACTTGTGGTTAGATTATAAGGATTAAATATAGTTTATTTTAATACCTTATTTTTATTCTTTGCGCCTATAATTCAGGAATTAATAGATTTGAATAAAATCCCTAACAATTGTTGTTATTTATAAAATATGTGTTAATGCGTGTTACCCAAACAAGATTTCATTAATTTCAATTATATCATTCTATTTCATTATTAATCAAATTAAATTAGTAGTATGGTTCATGCAATATTTAATTATACAGTTTATTCATATTTCAATTTTTTTCATTTACAGTAAGAAAATTTTTCACAAAACTACTTTTTATTAGCTCTTAAAAAAATATTATTATTAAGTATTAACAAGTACCCACTTATTTCATTATGTTGATTGATGAATGAAGCTCCCCTTCTTTTTTACTCTTGGACACATTTATTTAAAATCAGTCCTCGATTAAGTGAACACATTTAACGTATTTTTTTCCATTTACTTTCTAATGCCCTACTAATAATAAGCGAATAATTTAGTATTAGTGAATGGACAGATATATATATTTAAATCGAAATATTCTCTTAAAATCAATCGAGTATTTGAATATATACAAAAAAAATACAATATCATTACGTACACTTAAATGTGCATTAAATTAAATTTAATATGTATATCGATTCTCTAGGTTATTTTTTCAAAAATTACGAAAAACAATTAGTTTTCAAGTAGAGGGCTTTGATTCATTTCGTTCTAAATATAATATGCCTATCCTATTAACATAATTTTAATCAGATTGTAAATTTTATCGGATCTTATATAGTTATATAACTATATTTTATACATGCAAATATCTAAATTATATATGCACTCATTTATTATTAAGCAACGTTATACTTAAATACTTTTGCTCATGTTAAAACTAGTTTTCACATAACATTTAATAATAACAGTAGTTTTCTTAACAACAACAAATTTTCAATGTCAACCTTGTTTAGCAATTGCATACTTAAAAATTTGTTTCTTTTTAGAAGTTGTATAAATTTTAAAACTTTTAATTGTAAGTTAAATATCAAAGATAAAATTTAATTTCATTAAATGAATAAATAACAGTGTTTGGTCGTTCATTTAATTTGTTTTACTTTGTATTTATGAATCACCAACCAGCATTGTATATAATTGGGACCATTACAAAATATGTTAGATATATTTTACTTTTTGTTTAAAACTTATACTTAAATATATTATAATCAACATTTATTATTTAAACATATATTTTTAAAATAGTAAATAAATATAAACATTCCTATTCTATTTGAAAAAAAGCGAGTGACGTTCGCGTCTTGTTCACAAAATATGAACATATATATGATAATTAAGAACTTTAAATTAATTAAACATAACTAAATTCTTGATGAAAAACGTATTAGACAAAAGAGATACTTGGTTGGAAATGATATTCATATCTGTTATCTTTTATTTTATAATTTAAATGTTTAAATTTAATTAAAAACTTCAAGGTATTACGTTAATAATAAAGTGCTTCATAATATAATTGTAATTTGTAATTAAACGACGTTTAGATAATTTTTCTAAATAAAATTAATGAACCATTGTAAACTTCTCCGAGTTAAAAACATGCAAAAGAAGTAACAGTTATTTACTAGTTAATTTGATTAGCGATTTTATTATTAATTATACTTCTGTATCCTAACTATTTCACCCACACATTAGGTACTTGTTACTCTTGATATTATTATTAAAATTAATTATCTATAATATTATGTAACTGGTATACTTTATCTTTTCATTCGTTTATATTAGGTATTATAAAAAATTGAAATAATATTATACACATTTATTGCAGGATATTTTGTTATTAAAATTTTAGTCAATCATTTTTGAAAAACTATCACTTATCAAATATTTCATTTAATACGTGATTTATTTACCAATAACTGATCTCAACTTAAAGTTGTGTTTTTTCCTAATTTTTTTTCTGGTTCAACCAAAAGAATAAATATAATTAGAATAGAATAAATAAATTCAATAAATATAAATAGAATAAATACAATTCAAAAATATATTAACAAAAAGATTATTTTAATGGTTGTTCGTCAGTACCCATCTATATACAAAC